TGTGTGTGTGTGTGTGCGCGTGCGCGCGCTGCAGCAGGAAATGGACACCACTCAACAGGATCCTTGGCTCATTTAGGGTAGTGCTGGGAATAGAGGGATTGCCAGGTGCTGGGGGGAGGCTGTGTGGTCACCTATTTGGTTACCAGAGAGCAGGTTCCCAGCACCTGACAAACCCTCCACTCCCACTCTCTGCCCAGAGTGAGCCTGGGACTCCACCACTCAGTGTTTGTAGCAAGGAAGGCAAACTGACATGGAAGCTTTGCTTCACCTATGTAGACTGGGGTCTGTTTGCACAGCAGAGTCCTGGCTGCTTTCCAGAGCAGCTGGGCACCTACACACGTGCATCAAGGCTGCTCTGATGCATTGTAATTACAGCAAGTTACAGCGGACTCAATCAAGTTAATAATATATTAACTCAAGTTAATAATATCGATTACTAATATAACTCAATTAATAATATAACTTGGTTAATCATGTCTGCTGGAATGTGGTAATTACCATGCTCCAGCAGACTCCAGTGTCATGTATATCAGAATCTGCATGCTGAAAAATGGGGGCATTTTAACTAAAGCTTGTTTGATGAGCTTTTGAAGTGCCCCCCTCACCATTTTTCAGCATGGGGATGCTCATACATGTGACACTCTGGGTGCTTTAATTAGAGCGCCTCTTGGAGCCACTCTATTTAAAGTGCCCCTCCTCCTGGAGCATGTATATAAATGCCCCATGTGCTTGGGGGGAGAGGCATTGAGGCACAGTGCAGTTTGAGATGCTTGGAGGACTGATGAAACACTAGGCATGGAATGCTATGCATCTCCATGTAGCACTGAGCTGGCTTACAGAAGACCACTCAAAGTTTTACTTGATCTTCCTGGTGTGTTTTTGAAATGTTCCTTAAACCAATTTTAAGTGGCCCTGCACATCTAGACTGTTGAGGTGTGCACTTCCATTTTTTGGCACCGCATACCACACATGGTACATGGGTACATGTTTGTTGCACTGCTAGTTTGCAGCACAGTGGGTTTTTTTGACACAGAGATCTTGCTGTAAAAAAAAAAATGGTGCAGGAAAGTGACGCAGCGCATGTGGCAGCAGTGTGTACCACCAGAAGGGAGCCTGGCCAGCCAGAGCCATGTTCTGGCTGCTGGCCAGGGTCTGAGGACCTGGATTACCACCACTGCTTCCCCAGGAGACCCCCAGGAACTCAGGTAAGGCTGCTGGGGCCAGCCCAGGTACTGGCTCCAGCTTCCCCTGTCTCACCCAGGGCAATCTGAGTATTGCCAGACTGCATATGCAGGGGCATGCCCAGGGACAAATAACAGTAGCAAAAATATGTACTGCTGCTATTTGGTCCATGGGGAATGCAAGTGTGCACTCATGGGGATGTGCCCTTGGGGTCTGAAGTGTATTTAGCATATTCTAAGCATTATGTCTGTCCGCACCCTGACATTAACTATAACTACTGAGGGATGCTGGGCCCATTCTCATTCTGAAGTATCCTTCAGGGAGTGACTAGGAACGAAAGAACTGCATGGCAGTTTCCTTATGGTTATATTATCTACACTGATTCCTGTTGGGCTCGGAAGACCTGCAGCTGAAGGAAGTGGATGGTTCTCAAGAGCAAACTTGCAAATTTTCATTCTGCTGCTTCTCCCACCTTTGCTTCTCTGGCACTATTCTCCCCAGAAAGTATACCCTCTTATTGTTATTCATCCAAGAATCTAATACCTTTAGGGCGTCATCTAGCTTTCATGTTCTCTTGCTGTCAGTTTTAAAGTAGTAGCTGCTCCCTCAAGTTTGGGAACTCCTCAGAATGAGAAGAGTAGAGTTTGGGCACAATATCAAAAAAGACAAAGCAGCTCAATCAAAGATTGATTTGGTCTTTACTTCTTCGGAAACAGCAGCCAATTCTGCCTAGGGCAGAGATCTCGTAAGCATTTAAGCTAGTCATTTATATCTGGGCAAAATTAATAGCACTTAAAGTCTCTCGGTTTTCTTTCCGCTCGAGAAGTTGGGCAGTTTCAAGGGAGTTGCTGGTATCTTGGTGCCTTTCACCCAGACTGAAGAAAAGATCTCTCAGACCATTCAGATTCACTGGGACAACCACTTATCTGCAATCCAAATGTGTTCATTTTTATTCCAGCCGCATTGCCCAGCCCTTGCCTAGTAGTGGCCTCAGAACTGGAAGACTGCACCTAGGTGAGATGCATAAAATAGAGCATATTCTACTTACAGTCATTTTCAGATCCATTTGTGTGGTTCAGAGACAGAGACACTATGGGCTCTACCTTACAGTGGCCCACCTTGATCCAAATAGCCTTGTGGAAACAGTGGTTTCCTTCTTCAGCAGGCAGTTTAGATCACGATGGAGGAGTCCAAGAAGGACTGCTGCTGACTACAGGTCACACAAGGAAGGCAGCAGGGAGTTGCAGAGTGCATTTTGATGTTCCCAGGCTTTGAGTCATGGTCCTAATACAGAACTGAATTCAGCTCTAATAGACTGCTCAAGGTAGGATTTTTTTTTCTGTATTAGCTCTTTCTGTAGATGAATTCCTTTCCCTCTGTAATTCCCACTGGTCATTGCCCCGCCCCCAAAAGTATGAATTAACTGAATTATTTGGCTAGAAACAGACATCTTTACTGAAGCATGATCAGCTGTGCCATGATATGGCATAGCACAGCTGATTGCACTCCAAGGTCATCTATAAACATCCTCACTTGTTGCACCCTGACTTGAGGCATGTTTACAAGAAGGAGAAAACTCCTGCTTGCAGATTCCCCCCAACCAGGTTGGTGAGTAGGAGAACCTCCTGCAGGGGATTTTCCTCCTTGCCTACAAGCATGGGGGAGAGGGGAAACTCGAACAGGGGCCCCCCACTCTGCGTTTCCATTTTGAGACCTCACAAAAAGTTCCAACCTTTGTTTCCACATCAGGGGAAGTTTTTAATCTGTGTAAGCGCTATATTTAATAGAATAATAGGAGAAGGGAAGGAGTTACTGGAATGGCTGGGCATAGAGATAATGATTTCGAATAGTCCTCTATTCCAATAGTCCTCTATTTTGCCGATGACACCAAACTTTGGGGCAAAGCATCCACACCCGAAGACAGGAGGGTGATCCAGGCTGACCTGGACAGGCTCAGCAAATGGGCAGACGAGAACCTGATGGTGTTTAACACTGAAAAATGAAAGGTTCTCCACCTTGGGTAGAAAAACCTGCAGCATCCTTATAGGCTGGGCAGTGCTACGCTGGCTAGCACTACCGAAGAAAAGAGACTTGGGGGTCATCACTGACCACAAGATGAACATGAGCCTGCAATGCGATGCTGTGGCTAGTAAAGCGACCAAAACGCTGGCTTGCATCCATAGATGCTTCTCAAGCAAATCCCTTGACATCATTCTCCCCTTGTACTCGGCCTTGGTGAGGCCGCAGCTGGAGTACTGCGTCCAGTTTTGGGCTCCACAATTCAAAAAGGATGTGGAGAAGCTTGAGAGAGTCCAGAGAAGAGCCACGCGCATGATCAGAGGTCAGGAAAACAGACCTAACGACAATGGGCTGAGAGCCATGGGGCTCTTCAGCCTGGAAAAGCGCAGGCTCAGGGGTGATCTGATGGCCACCTATAAGTTTATCAGGGGTGACCACCAGTATCTGGGGGAACGTTTGTTCACCAGAGCACCCCAAGGGATGATGAGGTCGAACGGTCACAAACTACTACAAGACCATTTCAGGCTGGACATAAGGAAGAATTTCTTTACTGTCCGAGCCCCCAGGGTCTGGAACAGCCTGCCATCAGAAGTGGTTCAAGCACCTACATTGAACACCTTCAAGAGCAAATTGGATGCTTATCTTGCTGGGATCCTATGACCCCAGCTGACTTCCTGCCCTTTGGGCGGGGGGCTGGACTCGATGATCTTCTGAGGTCCCTTCCAGCCCTAATGTCTATGAAATCTATGAAATCTATCTCTAGTTTGTCAAAGATATTATAGAAAAGGTGGTGGAGGAGAGAAAGGTATTGGGTGGGATGAGAGAAGGGTCAACCTAGAGGTGATGTTGTAAAACAAAGTTGGTTTTAATGGAGGATGACCAGAATGTTACTGTGGGGAGGGATAGGAATATGGCAAGATAGAAAAGGGAAGTGCTTCTAACTTTTGTGACAGAAATTACAAGCTTGGTCATCAGACATGTTGGAGATCATTGCTTTGTTAAAATCCTTATCTAGACCTCATGACACATAGTGAATATACATTACAAAGTTAAAGAACTTGCATCATGTATGACTAAGAGGTGTACTGGCCAACTTGGAAGAGCTTTTAAATTTCAAACTTTTCCTTTGGTAGAGTTATACTGATGGAACATAATACTCCTGTGAACATCATATTCTGTTCAGACAGGATCCAATGGTGCTCCTAATAGTAACCATCAATTTTAAATTTCAGAATGAAAGTCATCAATCCCAGACTTTTGCCATAGTCCCCACAGAGGACAAGTACACAGGCCCAACCTGCCATCCATTTTGACATAGGAATAAGACAGTTGGAACATTTTTTTCAACATATGTTTCACCAAGTTCCATAAATTGAAATGAGTTGGATTTGATTAACTTTGTTTTTTTGTTCTTCTCTTTTTAAAATACTGTTTTGCCTTGGAGACTGATCATGAACCGTTTCAGGCTAAATTATGTAATATAATTTGATTTTAGGACAGTCAGAGAGCATTCGAACAGCATTCATCATGGAAATCATGTTACAGCTTAATTCTGAAGTAACTATAATGACTTCATAATAACAAAGAACCAAGTTCTTTCCCCTCCTAAAATGTATACTTTCTACGTAAGAAAGATTCCTTCAAACACAGGGTGAGACTCCAATCCAGAGAGCAACTGTTTCAGTTCAGTTACTGGTTGGGTGATGGAGGGGTGCTGTTACATATATTTGCCTCTTGCTTCTCCTTCCTCCTACCCAGCATGTACACAGGGAAGAAAATTCCAAATCCACAACACCTACCTTAGGTTTGAAGGCAATTAGTTTCAGAACCATCTCAACAGTGAAGAGACCAGTGAAGAGCATGTTGAGGATATTCATGGCTTCCTTGAACATGCAGCTCTGACCGTAGTGCTGAAAAACAGATATCCCAGAATCACTGTGAAAAATGAACTGAATGGGTTCATTCACTTATACAGGATGCCAGGCTCATCCCTCTTCATGGTTAGGTTTTCTAAAAGGAATCCTCATCTCCATATTCTTTAAGGTCTATCCCTCCCTTCTCTTTGAACTCATTCACAGCAATAACTGTCCTTCAGATGAGTCAAACAGGATTGGAAGCCCTTTAAGATTACCCTAGATTAGCAATTCTCAACCTTTTTAGACTTAAGATACCATTCAAAAATGCCAGTTCTTACTTTTCATTCACGTTTTTATTACAGAAAAATAATGGAGCAATTGTTCTGTTGTAAAGAATTCAGAAAGACCACTCCAAGTCAGAATGTATTTAATACTATGAATTCTTATTTGAAATCTCCGGTCTTATATTGTGACATATGTTCAGTGGTCTAACCAGGGTACTGATGGGGTGGGAGGCAAAAAACCTGGCTTTTGCTACAGCCACGCAATTGTGATGGTGCTCCTTTGTGCAGCAGCCACCCCAGGTGCCCAGCTACATTCTTACACTGCTCCTCATTTTTACTCATCTTACAGTGTTAACACCCCACAGCACCCTTGAAAGAATCTCAAGACACCTCAGAGTGCTGTGGCACTGTGGTTGGGAATCACTGCTTCAGTACAATATGGGTATTATTGTCATACTGAAACAAATGACTGGTCAGTCTAATTTAGCAGATTGCCTCTAAGAATTGTCAGTGCCAGAAACTTCAGACAGAAACTGAACAATAATTTACAAAAGTACCTCTTCAAATGGGAGGTTCATCCTAACTCTGGGAGGTAACATCCTAGTTCAGTAGAGCATGTGTTCAGGTGCTTTGCTGAATGGGGATGGACTTAAGGAGGTAGTTAAGTGCTTTTGTGAACTAGGTGTCCTGTCTGTTCATGATTGGTTGACACCTTCAAATATAAGGCTTTACTTTTCTAATCTTTTCAAGCCCTTCTATTGCAATTCTGGTTATTTTTATTATTCTCATAAGTGTCCATTTTTTTTAAACATACTAACCTCTAGGTCAATACTAAATTCCACAGGTCAACTATGCATCAAGTAAAACCAGTATTTTATTTTATCAGTGTTAAATATGTTGCAAGTTTTAAATTTGTCGCAAGAAATATGTTCCCATATTATAACAAAAAAAGAATAGAAGAGCAACCTTAGTTTACCTTCTCTATATCATTTATTATGGTATACCCCTCCATGATGCCCCTTACTTGTCACAGTTTCTTTTTCAGTTTCTCCTGACCTGCATGGAAATATTCCCATAGAGCTTATAATGTTTTCACAAGTCTCTGCACCCCTTCTATTTCATATATATTTTTTGAGAAGGGAGTTACCACAACACCAGTTCCAACTGAGGTCTCATAATTGATCTAATTTGTGGCATGGCCATTTTTCCCAACATTTTGTTTACTTCTTTGACTGCTGCTGCACATTGAACAGAGGTTTCATTGAGTTGTTCATAATGAAACCAAGTCTTTTCCTGAGTAATTACACCTAATTTAGAATCCAGCAATATACATGAGTAGTTCAAATTATTCTTTCCAATGTGCATTGCCTTGCATTTGTCAACACTGAATTAAATCTGCAATCATGCTGTCCATTCACTTAGCTTTATTATGAACCTATAAAGTTACTCTTGGTCTCCTTTAGTCTTGATTAAGCCAAAGAATATATTCTCTGCAAATTTTGCCATGTTACTATTCATCCTTTTCTACCCCCCATAGTAATTGAAACTGGTAGCTACACCCATTATCAGGTTTGCCCTTCTCATAGAATCATAGAAGTAGGGTCGGAAGGGACCTTGTAGATCTTCAGGTCCGACCACCTGCCTGGGCGGGAGAAAAGACTGGACTCAAATGAGTCCAGCCAGGTAGTCATCAAGCCTCTTCTTAAAGATCCCCACAGTAGGGGCTAGCACCACTTCCCCAAGAAGCTGGTTCCAGCTCCTAGCCGCCCTAACTGTGAAGTAGTTCTTGCGGATGTCTAATCTAAACCTACTCTCTAATAATTTGTGTCCATTGTTCCTTGTCATGCCAGGGGGTGCTAGGGGAAACAGTGTCTCCCCTAAACCCTTCTGGTCCCCCCTCGTGAGTTTATAGATGGTCACCAGGTCCCCCCTCAGCCTTCTCTTGTGAAGGCTGAACAGGTT